CTTCCTGTCCATTCCTTATACACCCAACAATGGCCATGTCATCAGAGAACTTCTGCATGTGACACAAGTCCGAGTTGTATTTAAAGTCAGAGGTGTACAGGGTGAACAGGACCGGGGAGAGCACTGTTCCCTGTGTGGCTCCTGTGCTGCTAACCACAGTCTGAGAGGTGCAGTCGGACATACTGAGGCCTTCCAGTGAGGTAATCTGTGATCCACCTCACCAGGTAAGAGTCCATACCCATCATTTTCAGCTTGTCCCTCAGTAGCGGAGGCTGGATGGTGTTGAAAGCGCTGGAGAAATCAAAGAACGTAATCCTCACAGCGTTACTGCCCCTGTCCAGGTACGAGAGTGACTGGTGAAGCAGGTAGAGAATGGCATCCTCCACACCCACTTTCTCCTGATAGGCAAACTGCAGTGGATCAAGTGCATGTTGGACCTGTGATCTGAGGGGGTGTAACAGCAACCGCTCCATGGTCTTCATGACATGGGATGTTAGGGCGATGGGCCTGTAGTCATTCAGCTCCTTGGGGTGCAGTCTCTTCGGAACAGGAACGATGCAGGACGTTTTCCACTGCAGTGGAACCCTCCCTACTCGCATACTCAGGTTATAGATATGATGTAGGGGGTCACCCAGCTCCAGAGCACAGGCCTTGAGTAGCCTGGGACACACACCGTCGGGCCCGGCTGCTTTGCTGGTGCGTAGCCTCCTCAGCTCTCCACTCACCTGAGCTGCTGTAATGTTGCTGATGTTGCTCTCACCAGAGGGTGTCGGAGGGGGGGAAGTGTCAGTGGATAATGGGGAAGGTGGTAAGGGCGTGGTTTCTTCACATCGAGCCTTGTTGATCGAGGGAGGGGCAGGGATGGCAGCGGGACAGGTTGCAGCAGTGGAGGCAGGGCAGTCAAACCTGTTGAAGAAGTTGTTTAACTGGTTGGCCTTCTCCCGATCCCCCTCAACTGTGCTCCCCCGCTTAGAGCAGTATCCCGTGATGGTCTTCATACCATCCCACACCTGTCTTGTGCTGTTCTGCTGCAGTTTCTGCTCCCTCTCCACTCACCTGAGCTGCTGTAATGTTGCTGATGTTGCTCTCACCAGAGGGTGTCGGAGGGGGGGAAGTGTCAGTGGATAATGGGGAAGGTGGTAAGGGCGTGGTTTCTTCACATCGAGCCTTGTTGATCGAGGGAGGTGCAGGGATGGCAGCGGGACAGGTTGCAGCAGTGGAGGCAGGGCAGTCAAACCTGTTGAAGAAGTTGTTTAACTGGTTGGCCTTCTCCCGATCCCCCTCAACTGTGCTCCCCCGCTTAGAGCAGTATCCCGTGATGGTCTTCATACCATCCCACACCTGTCTTGTGCTGTTCTGCTGCAGTTTCTGCTCCACTTTCCTTCTGTAGGTATCCTTGGCTTCTTTCAGCTGGACTCTGAGCTCCCTCTGTACGTGTCTCTGCTCCTCCTGGTCACCATTCCTGAAGGCTTTCTTCTTTTGATTAAGGAGGTCCTTGATGTTGCTGGTAATCCAGGGTTTGTTGTTGGAAAAGCAGCGTGTACAGTTCTAGTAGGGACCACAACATCCATGCAGAAGTTCATGTAGTCAGTTATGCAGCTGGTGATACCCTCAATGTCCTCGCCATACGACTCCTGCAGCATTCTCCAATCAGTAGACTGAACAGTCCCTCAGTGCCTCCTCAGCCTCAGGAGACCACTTCCTAAATGAGCGTGTGGTGGTGAATTCTCTCCGTACCTTGGGCTTGTAGTGAGGGCGGAGCAGAACCAGATTGTGGTCTGATTTCCCCAGTGGTGGCAGAGGAATGGCAGTGTATGCATCCCTTACATTTGCATACAACAGATCAATAGTCCTGTTTCCTCTGGTGGAACAGTCCACATATTGGAAGAAAGCAGAAAAGGAGGAGTCCAGTGTCATGTGATTGAAGTCCCCGGAAATAAACATAAAGGCTTCAGGGTGCTGTGTCTGTAGTCCCGCAACAACCGAGTGGATGATGTCACACGTGACCTCCGCTTGCGCTCGTGGCGGGATGTAAACACAAACAACAATGGCGTGAGAAAATTCTCTGGGCATGTAATATGGATGTAGACTTACAGCCAAAAGTTCAATGTCCCTACTGCATGTTATCATCTTAACAGTGCCCTGGATTACACCATCTGTTATTAATAAACAATGCAAGTCCCCCACCTTTGCTCTTCCCCCACGCCTTTGTGTCTCTGTCGGCCCTGACTGTAGTGAAGCCGGGTAGATCCACATTAGCATCCGGAATGCTTGCGGTTAGCCACGTCTCAGTGAAACAGCAGACTGCACTCCCTGTAGATCCTCACGTTTTTCACGAGTGCAGCCAGTTCATCAATTTTGTTGGCCAGTGAGTTGACATTCCCCATAACTACAGATGGAACAGAGGGCTTGTATCTCCACCGCTTCTCGTGGCGCCTAGCCTTCACCTTAGCGCCAGCGCGGCATCCTCAGTACGGCCGCCTCACCTCTCGTGGCAGGTGTGGGACAGTTCCAACACTGGCCGTAGTCCTGAGGGCGAGCAGCCGGTCCCTCGTGTACACGAGTTTGTGGCCATTGTCCTGTTGTGGCGAATCCATATCCATAGGATATAATATATATATAATAAAAGTATGATAATAAGCACTACACAGACGCGTAATGGCAAAGTTAAAGAGGTAAAAAACTATTAAAAAACAACTAAGAACGCGACGCAAAGATGGAGCTACTGGAAAAGCCGCCTGCTTGCGCTGGCGCTGGAAGTGACGTCGTGAATTTGTAATGCTAAATTCCTCCAAATCTGTTCTGGTGAAGAAACTCTATATCCTGGATGGCCTGAGTACATTTTCAGCAAAATTTCATTTCCATTTTCCCTTTGACAATTCATGACAACTCATTTGTTTTCATTACTGGAAGTGCAGAACACCCAGCACTTCCTTCTGTGGTTTCACATGGCATTGGTCCACTGGATGCAAATTTAAAGGGCGCCTATTATGCAAAATCCACTTTTACATGGTGTTTGAACATAAATGTGTGTTGGCAGTATGTGACACACAACCACCCTACAATGATAAAAAACCACGGACTCATTTTTTAATCCCCATTAAACCAAATCAGGCTCATTAGACATGCCGTTTTGATTCTCTGAGAAGTGTGACGTAACATTGCTCAGACCCCGCCCACGGCTGCTGACTCACTGCCGTATTAGCAGCCAGAGACCCTACCTTGAGTGAGCAGCACACAATCTGCCATGTTTATCTTAACGCTAGAGCATTTAAAAGGAGCATTCAAGCTAGAAATGTCATCTTATTAAAGCTATAGAATTTATTCGGTCAAGAGCAGTGAGTGAATTTCTGTTTTTATTTAATTGTTTGGGTCATAGTAACAGCGTAGCAGCTGTATAGGTACTGCATATTACGCTGCTGTCATTTACAAAGATCATCTAATATAAACATGTGAATTCTTTCCCAGCTGTTTACCTTCACAGACATAACCGACTGTGTTTTTGCAACGTGTTTTTAACATAACCTTGTGTGTATTTGACAGTTTAAGCGCAATAAGACATGAATGAGACAGTTTAGTGCTCACATGCCGTGTGACCGCTGCTTTCTGTGTGCGCCCATAAAATACTATAGTGTGCGCCCAGAAAATACTATATCAGAAGTTTAAACTGATATGACTTTAAAACGCATGATTTCAGCGCGATAGACATAATAATCAAAACCAAACTGATGTTTTTATGTTAACCAAAAAAAAACAATTTGACTTTTTTTCCTGATATATCAATATTTTCTTTGCTCAACAATGAAATATTTGATTGATTATTAACATATTTAAATAAGTAGAGAGATTGCTAATATTTCAGACACATATTTGCATAATTTTCTGTAAAATCGATATTATGAAGATCTCAGACTCCCCGAAATCATACCATACAGTAGTGTGGAATGCTGAATCTGAATAGCGTGACCTTACACACAGTATTTACCATAATAGGCTACATTATGTCAGAGCAAAAAATAAAACCACTTCTGCATTTATTTCATTTTGTGGGAAATACTACTGTTGCTATTTAACATGGATGATTTATTGCCAAAAAACGATGACTCATTGAATGATGACTCATTATACCTACCATAGTAATACAAAATCTTTATTTAAATAGGAAACTCTCATAATTACTTCAGAGGGTAAAGTTGGCAAACAGGTGATTTATTTATATTCAATTTACATGAATAGAGGGGCTTAACATTCATGTACATTCAATTCAATTCACATTTATTTGTATAGTGCTTTTCACGATAAAAATCATTGCAAAGCAGCTTAACATGAACATTTCTACATTATATTTAGGAGTATCTTATCAGTGGTGATGTCAAGGTGATGTCCATATGGCAGAAATGTAGCTACAGTAAAAATCACAGTTAGTTAATGGCATGTATTCAAACAAACGAACGCTATTAACAGCAATGATTATGTTGCGATGAAACTTATAGCAAAATTTGGTAGTTTTGTATGTTGGTTCAGGGTTGGCGTCATCTGAGGTCCTCTGAAGGGTTGGCATTGGCATCATCTCTTCTCAGGTGTTCAGTCATCTCAGATCTTTGTAAGGGTTGGATCCAGACTGAAGCTTGTGTAATTCCTAGTTACCTCGAGATGACCATCCCATGGCAGAAACAGAGAAGCAAACAGAGAACAATTGGCATATGCTGTTTAAACCAAGCAAAGAATGATGATGTGCATTTGATCAGATATAACTGAAGTACAAGGTTATGAGATACATTATGTGAATGTTTGGTTAAAGAGATGTGTCTTTAATCTAGATCTTCCTGAACATCATCAGGAAAGCTATTCCACTTCAACACGTGCTTGGATATAACGCGAAACCTACCGCAGGGAACCCCTAAAAGGAAGCTTACGCTTACAACCAGTAAATAACCTATGACGCTGAATGGGAAATTCACTCTTTCACTTTCGCTATGTTATATAGGGCTGTGTCTGATTAGAAACAGACCATACTACCAACCATTCGACATGTTGTGTCTGTTGATCCTAATTTTAAGCCTCATAAATAGAGGTTGGTCATGATAATCCTTCTTCTTTTACTCAATGTTTATTTTACTATTTCTTCTATTTCGCATTTCTTTTCGAGATAAAACTGTATAAAGTTGGTAACCTAATAACTTCTTTTTTCATTTCGTAGCTTATCTTTCAGAAATTGTAGCACAGGGAGACACAGTTGTTGTGTTTGGTCAGGATGCTTCATTCTCCTGTACGCTGTCAGACGCGTCTAATGTCAAACAAGTCACATGGCAGCGGGTACGTGACCAGGAACCGGTACAAACTCTGGCTACATTCAGCGAGCTCTTCAAGGATCATGTGGATGATCAATATGTCGGAAAAGTCACTTTCACCGCGGTGTCAGTTAATTCAACATCTATTGAGATCAAAAACGCAACATTTGAAGACGAGGCTTGCTATATTTGTTCCTTCAAAGTGTATCCATTCCAACCTAAACGACAAACCTTGTGCCTCGCCGTTAAAGGTAAGCTAAACCATGGAAGTCACAAACGTTTTCTCTCAGGTTTTGACTCAAAAACACAAGTATCAGCTAACAGGCAGATTTTAACCAAAATGTAGAACTATGTTTTCAGGACTAGGGCATGTCAGTTTGGGGCAGCCTGCCACGTGTTTTAAATGTCAAATTTGATACAGTTTCCTTTTATCAAAACAGTGGTTTGATATTTATTTTAAAACTGATTTATGAATTATTTTGCGTGCGTAGGGTGCTTTCACACCTGTAGATCGATTGCTTTGTTCCGAAACAGGGTTTAAAATTATTACAATGTTGCTTTTTATTCTTGGTGCGGTTCGCTTTCACATGGCAAAGTTTCTAAACGGACCAAATTTCTTAATACAAGTTACGCGCGAGTAAACTGTTCTCTCATTGGTCAACGTTTCACGGTTTATTTTCCGGGATTCCACATAGCTGTCACGCATGTCATCCGTCAGGATGGAACGACAACAGCTTTGCGGGCTTATTGTTGGGTTTTTTTGTTTTTTTGTAGCTGTCCTTATATTAATTTATAATTTTGAGCAGGAGTCCAGGATTCATCGGGATTTTTTTTTTTTAAATGCACCTACTAGGAAGAAGAGCAATAAGACGGCATTATAAAATGAAAGTGTGATTTTTTTTTATTTTGAATGGCGAAGACGTGCTCTCCCACAGACATTCACAGGTTCATTTTGAAGTATTAGCAAAACAACAAAGCTAATTCTTTTCACGGAACTTGTGTAATTGCCCATTATACATTGTGATATAGCCTGGTTCCTTGGTCCGTTAGATCGGATTGCTTTCTCACTACAACCGAACCGCTCCAGAGTTCAGGCGATCTCGGACCGATTGTTTTGGCGCGGATCCGAGCGCGATTGCCGTGTTCACATATGCCCAAACGAACCGAGCTAAGGGGGGAAACGCGCCAGGTTCCGAAACAACGGGCCAGGTGTGAAAGCACCAAGAAGTGCCAACTAGCTCCAGTCTCCCCCACCTTGCCAGTATAAGTGTACAGTATGTTGTGTTAGTAACAAAACAAGCAGTTTCTTCCAGGATAATGCAGATATGCCCAAAACTGGTAGAGGGCCGGTTTGAATAAGAAGATACTAAGAGATCTGTCTATGAATAATAATTGCATCTTAATGCAGGACCAAACAATGTGCTCAAGATGCAACTGAAACTTAAATTCAGTTTCCAGTTCCAGAAAAATGAAAGGAGTACATGCAGCCAATTATCCATTGTATTTGTTAAATAATATTTAAGTAAGCAAATACTATGTATTTAGTAATGCCTTAATAAAGAATCAAATATAATAAGATGTTTATTTATAGTGCCATATAGTTTTGTGTTTGCAGTATTACAATATTGTATGTAATTCAATCATTATGTTGCTGGTATTTTTTCAGGTATTTCAGAAATAACAGCATCAGTGAATCCTGCACTCAGTTCTGATCCAGATGTTGTAGTCTCATGTTCAGCCACTGGCAAACCAACTCCAACTATCCACTGGAAATCTGCAGAGAAAGAGCTGAACAACTTTAGGTTAAGTAATTTCACAACACTCAACAAAGACAGCTCAACCACCATTACAAGCAACCTCACGCTTCCGCTGTCACAGTTTCATGGGAAGTACGTGGAATGTGTGGCTCAGAGTGACAGCATGGAGAAGAGCAGCCAAATCTATGTGCCTGAAGTAGAATATAAAGGTAACAGGTTCAACATGGACATCGGCTCGAATAGAATCACATTGTAAAAATGTGCAGTTGTTACTTTCTACCTAATGCAGTCAGGCTGATTCAGTCTTGCTAAATATTTTTGAATTGATTAAAACCAGTTAATTTAGATGTTACAACATGAAGCACATTTTTAGATTGCCTGACAAAACAGTGAAACCAATGAAGGTATACATTCATTATGTTGCGATTTTGACTTTGAACTGCAATGCTTAATCTCAATATATATTAATTTTTTTCTTACAGTGAACGCTACACCAAGAAGTTACATCATTACAGTTTCAGTCCTCATTGTCATGGCTGTTGTGGTTATTGTCATTATTGTCATCTGTTCTCACACCAGACTAAAGAGTAAGCAGCAAAATCCCTCAGTTGAAATAGGCTAATACAACCCAACATACTGTCATCTTTTAAGAATAGATCTCAGTGGCAAAATAATTTAATACATAATTTCATTTTGCTAATTGTTTTCCCCCAAGGAGCCACTTTTGGGATAAAATCTACTTATGAGGAACCCCTCAATCCCCCAAAGGAGGAATGTTAACTCTACAGCTACCTCATAGTATGCATTTTTGCTCATGACCTTTGTTAATATGAACTTTTGGATTCTAACCTGTGTGTTCCTTAAAGGAATCATGAATTTTCTGTCTAGTATTTATTTAATTTATTCATTTATGTTTACATTACTGTATAGTATTCCATTGCATTAATATAATTAAATATAGTTAAATATATAATGTTTTACCACTATGTCAGAGTATTTTGATCACAGAGAATAACTATATCATGAACAGATGATATCCATACTGTAACTTTATATTTTCAGGCATATACATTTGCACTTTATGAATCTAATTAATGTACGGCCATGCACTAAATAGTTTTTAATTGTCGTCTTCTGTTGAGTCTGACAGTAATTTATAAATTCAGCTTGATATAAGTCTTGATGTTTTCCCACAATCCTTGATGTTGTACTTTACAGTGGTACAGTATTGTGTTGAGCAATGACAGTGATTTGGGGAAGAAAAACATAGTTACTCAATACAGATAAGCTAAAGGCTGAGAAACCTAGTTTTCAGTAGTGTTAAAGAAAGTGAAAGTTATGTCTTTAATGGAAACAAGCTGTTTTGTGGTTTCCTGCACGAAACTCTAAAGGCTGCACAGAGAGATGACTGCTATTGTTAGTATTTATACTATTATATTGTTATTTGTTGACTGCAGCCAACTTGCTAGAAGTAAGTGTATCTATATGGCAGGAACGACTGGAAAGTAAATCATAAAAGGATAAACACCTATTTGTGTTGAAAAGATTTCTGTGTGATATATTCTTACCTATGTATGTTACAGTATATTTATAACCTGTAATATGTGATTGCTCTGAATTAAAAATGTGAACCGTTAGATTCAATGACTGGATTACTTAATAACATTGTAATACTCTGTACTTCTACCAAATGTGTAAACCATACACATGGGGGGGGGTTTCGGACAAACACAGAAAATGTATCTAGGTATGTTAACTACTGTATGTGCCTATGCTGCATTTAAAGGGTTAGTTCACCCAAAAATTAAAATTCTGTCATTAATTACTCACCCTCGTGTTGTTCCAAACCTGTAAGACCTTCGTTCATCTTCGGAACACAATTTAAGATATTTTTGATTAAATTCGAGGGCTCTCTGACCCTCCCATAGACAGCAAGGTAACTACCACATTCAAGGTCCAGAAAAGTACCAAGATGATCGACAAAAGGGCCTTTCGCACCGCTTTAGTTCCAGAACTAAATGTACAGTACTAAAGTACTGGGATGATTTTGCGCGAATTATTTCCCTGTACCATTTAAAGGGTTGCATTCGCACCGACAGTGTGTACTAGGAAGTGACGTAAGCCGGTCGACAGCGACGTCATTTGTGCGCGGCGTTCAACAACGGAAACAGAAGAACAACGTTAACAACAGGAGGATGGAGGACGCTGTGATCGGAGCTGTGTTTTTGTTGTGTCTCGGGGGTTTCACAATAATGGACATGGAATGTCGACGTATACGTAAAGCGATTGAAAGAACGGAAAGGAGGACTAAGAATCTCCAACGACAACTGGCAGTGCTACATTTGCTGCACTTCAAATGTGCACTTCAGCGTCCGTCCATCTATCGCTGTTCTCCATACTTGCGAAATAAGTTGACAATGCTTACGGTATGTTTACACAGCGTTTTAAATCATGGCGGTTGAGGGTGTTTTCGTACGCGTTTGGCCAATCAGTGTCTACTTACGTCACGGGTAGTACCAGTTGTGCTGGTTAGACCCTGCTCTGGAGTAGGAGCTAATTTGGTTCTCGAAAAAGGCAGTCTGGTACTAAAATCGCACACAGTTCCGGCAGTGCGAAAACGCCAAAAAGTGGGTAGTTCCACAATTAGTTCTGGTACTATGAAAAGGTTCCCACGGTGCAAAAGGCCCTAATGTAGTCCGTGTGACATCAGTGGTTCAACTGTAACGTTACGAAGCTACGAGAATATTTTTTTTGCACAAAGAAAACAAAAATAATGACTTTATTCCACATTTTCGTCTCTACTGCGTCACTTGTGGACGCGCGTTCACGACGTCATTACGCCGGATCTGGGTCAGTGCCGCCACACGCTCGCGTGAACAAACCGAGGGTGAGTAATTAATGACAGAATTTTCATTTTTGGGTGAACTAACCCTTTAACACAACTTGCAGTATCAAACCACCTCCAGCGAAAACTGAATTAAGTTCATTTAGAGTTTTTGTTCTCTCAAATGACCAACTCAAAACTTTCAAACAGTACTTTGCTACATCTTTTTTCAGCAGGCATGTGGTCTGTGATTGTGATGCATCAGTGCTGCAACTGCAAAGTTTAAAGGAAGTTGTCAATGCAGTAGAGCTTCAGACAAACTTTGGGTAGCCATTTTCAAGTTAGCCATTTCCTCTAACTGACTGAGCAAAGAAACATGCAGATCTTTCACCCGACCACTGCGTTCCTTATAATGGTTGTTCTCTGCAGTCTTCTCTGGCAGTGGGTAAGTCTCATTCAATTCTTAACTAGGATACATATAATTTAAACTTCAAAATGTACCCTATAGTGCAATATGTTACTGAGAGTAGCATTCAGGTTATCACTTTTTTTTTTTGGCATATATAAATAAATTGGATACATTTGTTTTCAATACAGCTTTTTGTTAAAGTAATTTTGGTGTTGAGGTCATTTCTGATACAATCTGTATTTTTGATGGGCTATTACAAAATATTTCCCATGTGCAGTGACTGTGATATACTCGCGTGAACCGGTAACAAAGACGGAAGGCCTAATATGTGAAATATAAGATACAGGATTGCGACATTCAGACCAATTGGTGGTATTTGAACATCCGTGAGTCTGTGCAAATCACGGATCCAAGCAGATATCTAATCACAGTAAATGAAACAGAAAGAGATGAGTACAGGCTAAGGAACATTTTCCTGACATTGAATTCCTTGAGATGTTCAGACAGTGGCTTCTACCAGTGTGATGCCGAATGTCTCAACAGTGGGACTCTAGCGAGAGGCCATCTCGTGCACCTTGTCACAGGTTTGAGCTGAAGAAACATTATTTTGATTCTTAGTTCTTGTATGCTGCAATACTCTTGTATGTGACACTTCTTAATGTGACACGTGACTTTTTCTACAGCTGATCCATATAAAGGTCTGAAGTTCTCAGCATGGAGCGGCCAGTTAAAGGCAGATGCAGCTGCGCTAGCACTCAGTGCTATATTATTAATATTATGGTGTTATTAAATTACATTGTGTTTTCAGTATGGAGCAATACAAGGTATCAACATATGAAATGCACTGTTATAAATCCGCTGGTGTGACCAACTGTACTTTTATTGTATTCTAGACTTGATCCAAAGTCTTGGATAAGTGCTTCAGGTAAAACATAAAACAAACTCTAATTAGACATGAAAAAGCGTGCAGATTTACAGTCGTGGCCAAAATTTTGGGCAGTGACATAAATTTTGTGTTTTTCAAAGTTTGCTGCTTCAGTATTTGTAGATTATTTTTCCACGTTTCTATGGTATACTGAAAAACAATTATAAGCATATCATAAGTTTTAAAAGCTTTTATTGGCAAGCAAATATAATGAGTCAATATTTACAGTGTTGACCCTTGTTCTTCATAACCTCCACAATTCGCTCTGGCATGCTGGATATTAGCTTCTGGGCCAAATCCTGACTGATGGCGATCCATTCTTGCCTTATTAGATCTCGAAGTTGATCACAATTTGTGGGTTTCTGCTTGTCCACTCGCCTTTTGAGGACTGACCACAGGTTCTCTATGGGACTGAGATCCGGGGAGTTGCCTGGCCACGGATCCAAAATTTCAATGTAATGATCTAGTGATTTCACCTGACTAGTATTTATTCACACTTTCACATGTGCTGCTGATATGATTATTCAATTAACGTTAGCTGGTCATTTTGTGTCAGGATCATAAAACAGTGAAATTTTTGAAAGAAGTTAATTTTTTTGGCCAATGAAGCTTTTAGCAATTATTTAAAATGCATCTGATCACTCTACACAATAATCTAGAAACAATGTGAATGAACACCACAATAGCTTGAGCAGCAAACTTTGCAAAACACAAACTTTATGTCACTGCCAAAACGTTTGGCCAGGTCTGTAGATACAAACCAGGGGATTTGGAGGATTTGGATTGATCTCAATAGAGAATACTACTACTGGATATCAGATGTCTTATAGAAATCACAGGAAAGCATAATAATTATAATATTCCTCTCATGTCTGACATATTCAACTCATGGACTCAGTAATGAAAGGTGTTTCTTTTTTGGCCAATAATAAACCTGCAAAGGTTGTGTGAGCACTGCACTTCTGATGCTAAGGATGACAGGTTGGAGGAGAACTTAACATCAATATTTTAAGTTAATAAGTTCTGATGACCCATTACATGAGTCTGGAATAAAATGATTCATGGTCATTATGAGGGGGTAAAGGGCCAGATGACAACTGGGTTTTACCTTCTATCATTGGAAACTTATAGCGACTTTCGAGAGAGGTGTGATTTTAGTTCCCTTAAGGAAGCACATATGCAAATTTAACCTTCAGTCAGCTTGCACGGTCCGTTGACTTCCTCTTTCTTTTCCTGTCAGTCTCTCTCTCCCTATTTAGTTCTCCCTTCATGGCGACTTTATCCAAGAACTATGCCAGGTAATTCTGAAATTTCATTTTTATTTATTCTTCTCTGAAGAAAACACTGAAACCCCCTCCGTCATTTTCTGCTGGTCATTCAATACTGAAATGATTATATCTAATTACAGTAACTAAGCTTTTAAGGGAGTCTTATATATTTCACATTCTATAATGATTATATTTCACAACTGTTGCATTTTCTTGCCTGTCTTATATAAGAATTGTGTCTTGAAAAACAATCTACTTTTTTGTTTTCAAATTACTGGCAGAACATGCAGGGTTGGAATGAAAGTTTTACAGTGCTCTGGTGATGCCACCAAAAAGTACAGTCAAAAATACTATTGGTATTCATATTATTAACCAATGGGACACAAACCAATATGTCATTCACTGCCTTTTTTGTCCCCAAATTTTATCCCCAGATGACAGTTGTATTGCCTTATAGTGCTGAACAATAAATTTTTTAAAGCTGTTTTAGTCATAAATAATACCAGCCTTTCTCTCTCTCTCTCTTTTTTCAAAATTCATCTTGCAGAAATACAACTAAAAATACAAAGAAAAAAATCCCTGCATTTACTACAGAGCACAGTTGTCATACTATAAGAGTTGATGCAGAAAGTAGTTGGAGCTTATATTTTGCATTTAGGTAACATTTGTTTTTCAGTCATGGTGGGGATTTTGCATACATTTACACTGTTCTTATAATGATCTAACAAAATTTTGTATTCTCTGACCCACAACCCACCTTACCTTCACATAAACCTCTTGCCATTTTTGGATTTTTAATTATTTAGCATGTGTGGGTCACACTTTGCCTGGACCAAATTCAATCTGAAAACCTGAAACCACCACAGCTAAACATCAAAACAGCTAAATGTTTGGAGAAAAAAAAAATGGTGTGAACAATTTTGACTCTTGCTAGTATATTTCACAAACAATCACAGAAAAAAAATTAAAGTAGAAATAAACTTCAAGTTTCTGATACCGAACACCATAGTTCATATTAAAGGAATAGTTCACATCCAAAATGTAGACGAGTTTGTTTTTCAGTGGAACAGATTTGAAGAAATTTAGCAATACATCACTTGCTCACCAGAGGATGCTCTGCAGTGCATGGGTGCCATCAGAATGAGAGACCAAACAGCTGATAAAAACATCACAATAATCAAGTTATCCACACGACTCCAGTCCATCAATTG